AGTATCAAGCCGTGCATTTACTTTTTAAAAAATTTTCTTCGGAAATTCTTTGAAACATCTTTGGGCATCGGCGTCTTGCAAACTTACCGACCCCCGATGGCACCGATGGTATCGATATCGGTGGTTGCCGCTGCATCGGTACAGCCCTGATCTAAAGACATTTCAGACTGCCATCCGGGGTTCCACGAAAACGTATCAAAGGCAAATAAACAACACGCATTATAGATTAATAAGCCCGCAACTTCTTTCATTTTCTGATTAACTCCGTTTTCAGAAATGGAACCGTTTGTCTCCAATCGACGAAGGACTCGATAAGCCGAAATTATATTAGCTTGAAAGAGCTCACGGTTTGCAGAGAATTCCTAAAACTGGACTTGAACAAATCTGAGACCAAGCCGTTCTAAACGAAACTGGATATGTCCTTGTGTGTCCATTTGTCCTTTGGCAGAGCACCTGCCGAGGCTCGCTTCCCTGCCTCACATAAGGTTCTTGGACAGAGAGCATTAGGGCCATCGTCGCTACTAGAGTTCCTCGTATCTAAATGTACGTAAAGGTACTTGAATGTACAGTACCTGCATTCCCACAGCCCACACACAGCCCACACACCTCCGTCGAGGTACATAAGTACCCAGTAATATTGTCCCGAGTGCTGCTTTTCCCTTCGCCCCCTCCACCCCCGGTCAGCCATGCAGTAGAAATATAATTTTTTTGTAGCGTTATATTATTGAATTGCAAAGAGAAGCCTTCGGAATCTTTTGATTCGGGCTTGGCGGAAGTGCTTTGCACCGATCCTCGCGCTCCAACGGAACATATGGCGATGCAGTGGGATACAGATTTTCTGGGAAAAGTTCAACCACGCCAGATCGCCTCGAGGGTCTGAGATGTGGACTCGATTTTTTCCTTCCTTTTCTCCTGCTTCGTGAGCTGGAAGCATTCTGCTCGCAATATGAGTCGAATCCGATCCGATTCTAAAACTCGAGTTCGGATTCCGAAAAGTTTTCCACGTCTCGTCTCGAAGAGCCGGATTCCGACCCCGCTTTCGTCTCTCTCCGCATTTCACGAAGCCCCGTTCGCTCGAGAATCCGGGCATTCTTTTTAATTGGCTGCAGGAACACTGCTTGGGAATAGCAGCGTAAAAAGGGGTTCCGCATTTTATATCAATTAAAGCGATGGTGTACTCGACATTCGTGAGAGCAGGGGATTTCCTCCACCTTTATATCATCGCGGACCGGTTCAGTTGTGGCAAACGTGTTGCGGACTGACAGGCCTACCCTTCCAGGCATTGCGGACCGGCTGGCCCGAAGCTTCGATCCCTCCCCGTCTCTCACCATGTAAATTATGAGTTGAGATAACCGTGGCGCGACCAGAAAATTCAAAAGAGCAGGGGAGGGGGGGCGGGGCAATAGGCGAAGGCGATAAGGGCCCAATCGAGGAGGGAGGGTCGCCAGGGCGAGCTTAACAACATAGGTTCATTGTTGCTTCATTTTACCTTTTTCCCCTGCAAGCATGGGCGCCATTTCATATAAGGGAGGGGGGGAGCCACTGGACGCCTCTTAACGTGGGTGAGTTTTTTAAACCCTCTCGCACGCACCCTCCGTATTCACACCTTACCTTACAATTAATGAATGAAGTCATTAAACAAAAGACGAAGCAATTACCCTCCTCTCCCTCCTCTGACTGCGTCCTAGGAAGTAACCGTCCAAGGATGATAGACCGTTCGCAGGCAATTTATCGGTCGTCTTCCAGACACGCAAAATGCAAATGAGGTACCGGCGGAAGAGAAATAGCCGTTGACCGAGTTCCTTACCTGATGTGTTAATTTAAAAATCTGTTCTAAAAACTGACAACAGCAGCCGTCGGCAGTTTCCTACCTACTGACTGCTAATGCATATTTTTTGGCGACATGCATGCATTTCCATTCGCCATGCAAACAAGAGAAATCCTTTGGTTTGCACCCTTCCAGAAAAATTCAATCCGAATTTCATTGTCCCAGTCATAAAGTACACAGTACAGTATGGGATGGGAGAAGAGTATGCCCACACATCCCATACCGTATCCCATGCAGTATGGGATGTATGGGCATCACACCGTCTATTCGAAGAATGCTGATGGCCTTGGTAGTGGCGTTGTTCGATGCGGAAAGACAGATGCGAACCATCCCATGAAAATGTTAACCACATGGTCCAAATTGAAGTATGCCTGAAAATAAATTTAAAACGTTATCGGAAACCTGCAAGGCATGGGTATCAGCTGACTATAATTACGCAATTTCCCTACGGGTCAACGAAGAGTAAAGTCAGAGTAGATGTCGCACATATGCGACACTGTTCTGTCTTGAATCGTGAAGAGCATCGTGTTGCAACGTGCGACATGCTAGCATGCAACGGCTCGCCCATCGTAGGTGGAGATGGAGCGGCTGCACCATCTGACTTCGGGCCGTATATGCCACCATGGTGTATATAAAAAAAAGTAAAGAAGAAAAGAGAAATTGAATAATTGGGTTCTTTCTGCTCGCGTCATTGTTGCCACGTCAATTCGTAACAGGGAAGTGCTATCAGATCGAAGACGGAGCCCGAAAATAAATATTCGTATGACGAGAGTGGTAATGTGGCCAAAGGCGGATGAATGCCCTCTCGTCGTGCCATATATGCAGTGGAGGATGCAGGACTTCCCCCCTATAATTTCAATACACATCTGTGTTACACTTGAGCGGCTGTCAGATACTCGCAACAAGTGAAGGAGGGCGAGATGAATCCCAACTTTAAACGCAGTGTCATCGCTGCTCAATGGCAATGCGGTACTTCGTCTGCACTCCCCCCCCCCCCCCCCCCCCCCCCCCCCCCCCCCCCCCCCCCCCCCCCCCCCCNCCCCCCCCCCCCCCCCCCCCCCCCCCCCCCGCCGCCCCCCCTTCCCCGATAAAATGAGAGTCCTGGCAACAACGCAATTGCATTTTATTTGAGTGAGATAGTGGGTGTGATTGGGGCGGAGCTGCCTCACCTGTCAAAAGTTCTGTGTACGCCACTGTTAGCGATGCAGATGAATCATTCGCTCGTCCCCCGTCCGTTACTCCTGAAAATGTGAACACCGGGAGGTGAATTGCTTGCGCGGGGGAGCGATTCTTCATGCTTTGCATGGCATTTTCCCCAAAACACATTCAAAGGCCAGGAATTCACGACGAAAACTCTCACCGATATCGGAGAAACCGATCCACCGCTACGTCCGTTTTCCGTCCGTTGCGAAATCGATTATGCAAACACAGCTCACGTGGAGTGCCAATCCTCTCTTCACTCAAACGCGTCTCTGTGCTGTCATGCGGGCTGTCTCGAAAGGCAAACTCCGAAGTGGACGATCGTGTTTTAGGACGTCGCGTCCGTTACAATGGAATGACCCATATATGGGCTACGAAGGCATCAGGATACACACGCGGCGATGCGGAAAATTTCTTCCCGTCACGTAAATCCCATACGGGAGGGTCACGCAAACGGCAAACCTCTCGTGGTTTTCGGCTGACTATTCCCAATATTCCCCCTATCTCCACACGATCCATCATTCTTATGTCCACTATTTATCACTTGGGCATGCAAATCTGCGATTTTTCGGGTCGTTATGGTACATGAGCCTGCGGCTTTTATGGAAGCATATTTATTAAACCCACGCCACGTAGCACTTAGAGAAACTCTTGGCATTTCCCCGCTTTTTTCCTCATCCTATATTTTTCCTTCATCTTATTTTTTTTCCCTCATCCTATTTGGACACTTGTCATGTTGCTCCTACCTGTACCTTTGGAAAGGGGATCGGAGAGAAATGATTCAGGTTACTTATGACACGAGTCAAAAATTGACACGAATCAATTTTTTCTTGTTTTTAACAGAATTCTTCTTTAATGACTTCCATAATGACGAAGAAACGAACAGAACAAGTTCGGAATTCAGCCCAGCGACCTTAATTTTACAGAAACCAGCTTCAAGGAGCGAAAGGCTACAGTTTTTTGTGCTATTCTTCTGCTCAACTCCCATGACGACTCCTCGTATGTCCCATTGACCTTATTCAGGCATTTCTGCACCCGCCGATTCCAATGTTCCAGCACGGATTCTTTTCACATCATCGTCAAATTAAGTCATGATGTCAGTCGATAAGAGCTGTGAGAGGGATACAATAGCCTCTGCTTATGATAAAGGCGTAATATGCAATGCATATGAGCCCACCTTCATCTTTATTCTATCTGTTGGCAGATGGAGCCATAAGGACGCCATTGTGCACACGTACATCTCAAGTGTCCAAATCCAATAGAAACAGGCAATCCCAGCTCAAAAATTAGTCATATGATATTCTTGATTTATTTGCGGTTTCTATTCGGAGGACCATACGTGTGGGAACGAGTGCGATGCTTTTCCCAGAAGTTCCTTCCTTCTCCCCCCCCCCCCCCGCCCTTCCGCCCATTCTACGTTCCTCCCTCCCCCAGTTCCATGTCCTGGGGCAGCGGTTCTCACTTTCCACGTAAGCGCCCTCCCTAATCCAATGGCAATGGCTTTGCAATCCCCCTGAGGGGTCAAGACCCACTGCTCGAGAACCGCTGTGCCTAGAGGAAATGAGTGCCAGAACAGACCGCATGGAGCTGTCGAGGAGCTCTAACCTTACACGTTGTGGTGTGAATCGTGGGAACCGCACAAAAGCCCGAGCGTTAACGAGGGGATTGTACATTCTTCGTGATGTGATGAGGTAATTCTTGAATTCACTGCTTCGAGTTCCGGCTGGCAGGCAGATGCATCGAAGGGCGTGAAAAGTGGTATGACTGGATCGGCACCCCGCACGGGGGCCTTATCGTGGCCTGGTTCTTCTCATTATGGCACGGGAAGACGAGGCGATCGGAAACCCTCTCGGCCGTCCCCTGCACTTGCCCCGGCTGTTTCTCCCCAGACTGGTTTTCATAACGGATGCGACTGTCAGTGTGCCAGCAGGACCGATAGAGAACATGCTCCCGTCTCTTCCTCTCTCTTCGTGTCCACCGTGTTGAGTTCGTCTTTGTGAAACAGTGAGGATGTTCGAACGATGAGCGACACCTCGTCAGACCATGAAGCCTCCTCGTCATGCCGGTAATTGCTTTTATAGACGTTGCCTTCATTCGCACCCCGGAAACGAAACTGGAGCCCGACTCGGCTGCTGCTTCGGGTTCGAGTTCGAAGGGAATGGTCATTCCATCTGCCCTCGACGATGTTGTGGGTGATGTACCGGATCTGTATACCTTTCATCTGAACTGATTTCATTACAGACCTCCTTGGGAAGAGATGAACTCAGATAACCCCATTCACGAGTAGGCCCAACTGGTATTTGGGTCTCGGGAAGTGTTCGTTTCTTTTTTTAATGGTAATCTCAGAGTTCATTCGTGGCTGGTAGATATAATTCATACATTGTGCAGATGAATATTTCGCACAATTGGTGACGCCCTCGATTGCCCGCGACGTCCTTGATCGTAAATCTAAATAGGGCGAAACCCAGTTTAAAATAATTTACACAATAGGTAGCCAAACACAACTTGCTTGGCATCTTGTATGATTAAACCATTCCTACAGGGCTCATCACTATGAAATCAGGTCGTTTTACTCTAAATTGATCTGGTACATGTTCTCCCACGATTACCTCATTGATCGAGCGCATTCTTTCCTCATCAGGGGTGGACCTGCTGTGCGATAGGGATCTTGATGATCTTATGTGCCGGGGAAGGAAAGGCAACTTCGGATCGACATCGAGCAAAGCTCGGCTCGAAGTCCCAGCTTTGGACGAACCCCTTGTCGTGGGCGACCAGAGCCTTCTCGAACATCTCGGGTAGGATTCAAGGACTCAAGTTCCTGCTCAAGCCCCGTGTGTCCGTGAATGCGTCCTCCGTGCCCTCCGCTTCCCTGCAGGGGACAAGACATGACGAGGGCCTTCCGCCGCGTTTCGTCCCTTCGAGGCGGATCGATGAGAACAAAAAGAACGAAGTGAGGAGGACGTGGGAAAATCGTTCCTCGTTAAAATTTCTCGATCGTCAAGTTCTCGTTTCGGGAGTGTGGGTGACGATCGGATTCCTCGCCGGTGTTTTTCTCCCCTCCTTCTTCAAGGAGTCGAAACAAGTCACAGTGTCAGGACCTCTAAAAGGGCCTGAGAATGCAATCCTCGAGTCCCTCGAAAATCAACTCGCATCCTCGAGCGAACTACCGCCGAGCAAGAAGAGCGATTTTTTCTCATCGCCCCTGGATCTGATGCGGAAAATCAACGTGTCCGTGGGTGGTGGGTTGAAAATCGTGTTGGCAGCGCTCGCCATCATCTGGAGCACCGTCGCCGCCGTCGGTGTCATCGCGGCCGTCCTCACCCTCTACGCCAATTATTACTTCTTCCGTGAGTCCGGTTTTGCTATCTGAGTGGGCGCGGGTCGAGTTACTTACGACGACTCAACGGAGTTGTTAGTCGAGTCATTGGCCTCGAAAAACACGTGGAGTTTTTTTTTTGTTGAGAACCTTATCGCACTTAGAAGAGTAAGCCAATTTCCAAATACGGATTGAAATAACCGGAACAGGTATGACTTTAAAGATAATCGCGATCCTAAACAATCCTATAGAAGCTGGTAATTAGGAAGTACTTGAGGTCATGCGGCAGCACCAGATTTGATGCCACAATATTTTCCGAAATAGACTAATGGGGAACTGTGTATCGGCTCCGCATGAGATAGCACTAAAACTTTCAAGCTTTTTTCCCATTGCGTATGCCACGGCGATGGAGAGCTAGAGAGATTCTGATGCTGTTGCAGTTGGGAGAGTGACAAAAGGCGGGAAAGGGTTCGCCCCCTTCCGTTTTCTCCGCACTCTTCTCTCCTCTGCATCGAACATACTCGATTCAGGTCCAAGCCATCGTCCGTATCACTCGTACGCTTCGGGAGGAGGAAACCAGGTGGAAACGCCGGTCTTGGACTTCATCTATAGAATCCTGGACGCAGCGAATCAGGGGTTGGCATTGGAGGCGCAGCCTAAGATACACCTGCCTCCTAAGGTGCCTTTCCCCCTCCCCCCACCGCATGCGTTTCATGGTCACCATCTCCCACCGCCGCCATTACTACCTCCGTCGCCCCCACGGAAACGAAAGCCGACTCTCTACATTATCCGAAATCATAATAAGAAGAGGAAAAAACACCGGCCCAGGGGCTCCGAAGAGAGGCATAGCATACCGACAAAAACTCCCGCTCCCTACGAGGAGGAAGAAGACGAGAGCCTCGAGGCGGAAGATATGGGAGTGGCATATTCAAATCATCATCCTCACTATCGTCCAATCTCCTCGGCAAGCCCGCATGTGCACGTCATCTACGAAGACGAGGAAATCATCGACGGACCGGAAATCCCCTCCCCTGACAAGGAGGAAACAATCGTGGGCTTGTCGGTGTTCAAAGGCGACCCGGCGAATTATACTGGGATACCGATCGCGTCTTCGCCGTACGAGCATGTATCATGGCAGGACAGATACGCCGCTCACGCTGGGTACGACGACACGTACGAGGGACCCCTCGCAGCGCCTCTCTCCGCCGTGGACGACGGAAACTACGAGGACGAGGACTACGAAGACGCGGGATCCCAAGGAGGGTTGGGATCGCGTGTCTACCTCATCCTCCGCGACGTCCTCCAGCATGTGCTCTCGGAGAGGGCTCGACCCCATCGGAGGAAGCAACAGCCGGCCGAGTCGTACCATTGGGAGGTCCTCGACGACGTCCTGTCTCGGCCGACGGTCGCTCGAGATCGAGGGAGATTCGTCCCAAAGTCTCCGCATCGATTTTGGAAGGACCTTGTCGCGGCCGCGTCCGAGTGACGGATCCGTTTGGGTCATCCGGTGAGAATGGGTCGTGGATTCGTTCCGAAGGCCAGCATTGATGAGGAAACCGGGTCCCGGTATGATTGACAGTGGGATCACGTCCGGCTCGCCTGTGTATAGATCCTCGTCCCTCAGGAATTTCTGGTTCCTGCTCCTCTACGCTTTTGAGAATAAAGACTGGCTTATATGATAAAGTTTGGAATCTCGTAAATTCCGTTCCTTGTCGTTTGAATGACAGCATACCGCTGCTCTGGGGATGGACCCTGTTTTCTATGGTGATAGAGTCACCCTGGGAGATTCTCAATCCGAGGAAAAGGGGACAGTGATGTCACCAGGGTCTTGATGTCTCCTTAACCAAATCCCGGCAAGGCACATACAAAAAAAAACGCATGGATTTGCGCCTTTAGATCCTTTCCAAGTTGATCCCGAGAGGCCATATTACCCTATCATTGGAAGAATATGGCCACTTCTCAAAAAATAACCCAAGGTTCTTGGGTTACGTGTGGAACATGAACATGCTGAATACCTTGAAACATAACAAAGGAGGCTATGCAGTTGAAAAATAAACACATTAACTGCATTGAGGACAAGCTAAGAAGTCGACATCATTACCTGACTCAAGGAACTGTTGTGAAAAGCAGGAGTGCTGCGCTTTTGGCTTTGAGTGGCATTGCACGTGATTGGGAGACTGTTTCTAGAGACTGAGACTGTGGGTGTTAGAGGAATGATCAACCAAAGATCAAAGTGAACACGGGCTACGAGTGTGAACCAAGAGGTCTTAGATTGCGGGAAAAACGTTGCATAGTTTTTTGCATATGTGCATAAATAGTGCAAAAAAATCACAGAATGACATTTTTAACCGTTTGTACGAGGGATATTCACCTGCATTGAAATTTCGTGCCACAAAAATTTCTGGAGTACTTGACGTACGCCTCCTCATGCATTGCACATTTCGTACAGATGTCCAACAAATATATCCGTATATCCAGAAGATGTGCATAGGATGATCTGTTGCCAAAGGTCCCACATGAAAGGAAGCTGACCCTGCCAATAGGTCAGTGCGGTGCCACCATGAAGTCAAGGATGTGTCCACATTACCCCATGTTGGCTTGCACGACAAAATTGACAACACTGCCTGCAAACCTCAAGTAAAGGGGTCAGCACTTTCCACAACCATTCTGGAGGGACCATAATAATAACTTTGAACAAATGGTTTATGTATCCATGCTGCTATCAAGAAATATACGCTTAAGTTGTTTAAGGCTCAAATTAATTTCAAAGTCATTATTGAACAATTGCATGCATATGACAGTAAAATCATCGATGTATCCCGAATTCCTGTGAGAGCTGGATTAATGAACTGATCTAAACATTTCGAAAATTGCATATACTCTTCGATAGGACTGATTTCAAAAGTCGCCCAAACTAATTCTTCAGTCTTTTGGGGGATTCATTGTGAAGGGTCATATTACCCCAATGGCCATTTTCTCCCAAGTTACCCTACGCCGCAAAAAAAAAAAAAAATTAAGAACCCAAATGGCCCCATCATTCACCAAAATCGGTTGAATTTCTCCCAATTTCAGCCTAATACCGCAGGAACGCTAGTGACTTCACCGTAGATGGCTTCGCCCTGATGTTTGTGTCTCTGACGAGAAGCCTCATGCATAGGGGAGAATAGAGAGGCTGATGGGGCCTTGACTTCTCCTTGCCCCCCACTCCCCGCTATGCTATTGTGGAGGGAAAATTGTGTACATTTTTTAGCTTAAAAAAAATTACTGTCGCAACAGGAATCGTCCTAATTTTTTGGTGTTCCACCTTACCTTACTTCGATTCCTTTTTGCTTTTTCAGGGATGACATTTGCAATGCCAACAGTGTAGATATCTCTAAAAAGTCCTCGTTTTAGTCTTTCTTTTCTGGTATTTGCCTACCGTCGACCGGACGCACCCTTACCAGGAAAGTCTAGACCAAAACGCTTGAAGCGTTTTACTGAGAACTAGAAGTGTCACCGTCACCCGATACGAACCTGGACACATACCGAGTATAAAAACTGTGTCTGCTCGACCGTGCCCGAACCATGAGCGATTGGGATTTCGTTTCCCTCGTGTCTTTTTTTTCTCTCTTTGCATTCATCAAGCACCGAGCTCATCCACAATCAGCTTCGGGACAGTAACACGAGATTACTCCTCCGTACCTGCAGGTACCTGTAGCCTGCAGGATTTTTCGCATAATCAACGTTGAAGGAAGCCAATAACATTTTCTCTCCTAAGAAACAAGGAGAAGAATTTGGAGTCGATAGACGACAGTGAAAATCTCATTGCTCATCTTCAAGAGAATCGAGTTATTCAAAAGATCCCATCCTCTCTCTCTCTACGCTCGCTCGGAAACGTTCAGGATCCGGTTTATAACATGACCCCTTCGCAAACCGGGTGCACCCAGTGTCAATGCTCATTAAATATGACCGAGTGACGATATATTTTTCGCGGAGTTCAATGCAGTTCGACGGAGGTGTCCTGGAAAACGAGGGTCTCTCAACTTGCTCCTCTGTTATCTCCAAGAAATTGACTGTGGCATTCCTCGCCGCCTTCCCATTACAGCCTGGTCTCGCTCATGCGTGACGTGGTCCGAACACGTCCCAAGCATCGTCAAAGCATATCCGATCAGAGCTTTATTTGTCACTTGTCTCGGCCGGTGTCGCGGTGTACTCTTTCCCCTAGAACATTCTTTTTCCGTAGGTTTTAGTGAAACTCTCCATAAGTGGTGTGTCTTCTGAATAAACTGCGGGGTTTAACGTCTATGATCGCAATTCTCAATAGGCAAAATCTCCACCGATGGGATTTTAACTTAATCCTGTACGGAGGAAGGAGACACATCTATTCAACAGATCCTACGAAAGCATGAACGCAAGTTCAGTTCGTGGGTGAACTCCCGTCTTCGATCATACCTGTACATCAGTACGTCCACAATATCAAAAGTCGTGATGACTTTCATTTAAGGCATCAGAAACAGATTTGGCACTCTAGTTGATGTGACGAAAGTCCACCCATTCAAGATAGGAATTCGTTCGCTGCAGCTATGATCTCCGCCGCATGCAACAAGTGACGACGTTTGCAGTAGCTACTAGTATGAGTATAAACACCATGCAATTTCGTAGGCCTACTTTCATTATTTTGTATATTTTTAAACTAGAATTTCCAGCTGCTTCAAGCACTCAGTGTAGACGCAGAGGTACTAATTACCTCTGGAAGTCTCTTTCTGAGACTTAACTATACAGTATATGACTTCCCAACGTTTAAATAGTTTTGATGAACACTTTCATCGGATGTAATTCACCGCTGGCAGGGGCGCTGAGGGGGTTTCTCTCTCTTCTGGCATGCTTCACGTTTCCGATGGTCGAAATTCCGTTCGAAATTCTTAGAGATGCCCTCCCACCAATAATTACCGCTAGCTTTCTAAGAGTTAGTACTGCCGTGAAAGAGAGCGCCATTTGGCACATCAAATGGATGGGCAGAGGTTCTGTGTTCTTTATTTTCTCTTTCGACTCACTTCGTGGAGACGTCACTTTCCGTTGTCCTTCCGATCGTAAAGGAGAAGTAGATCTTCACGCATTTGCTCATTCGTGGCAACAGTCATGGCAAGAAGGGGTAGGTTTCGCACCAAACATGTAAATTTTTCCGTGAAACAAGACCAGTTGTTATATCAGAAGACCTTAAACCTCAGGGTAACAAATGATGCCAAAGGAAAATACAAACAAAGATGTTCGCAAGTTCAATACATATCAATATCAATATGGGTTCCCTACCCATATTGAAACTAAACATACAGTGGGCTAGTGAAGTCCATGGGGGAAAGGGGGCAATGCCTGAGGGGGGAACATATATATTCAGGTCAGTTATTTCAGGTATTTACCGGTATATATATGCCGGTAAATTTCTTACCCCCGGAAAAAATGTACTGGTGTATTTTTTTTTATGGGGGTGAAAGAATCTACCGGTATATTTTTTTCCCCAGAAGGAATGTTTTTCTAGGAGTAAAAATATCCCGGGACACCTGCCCTCCATAGGGAATGAGATGATCTACAAAGTGGGCATCAGCCAGTATTGTACTATACTGTTCAAGTCCGAGTAATAGTGCCGATACTCGTCAGAGAGTGAACAACGACATCGCCTCACCAGCAGATCGTGTATCTCCTCGAACACCAGACCAGAGAAATTCTCATCTAATTCTAAAATGCACAATTTCATGACGTGACATCAACCTCCCCGGAGGCATCCATTCGTTCCCCATAATCAACGCTGCGCCTCGATGCACACGCACGAACGGGCGTCGGGATTCACGTGCAAACCACGGTCGATTCCTTGCCGCCGGGGAAGCGGAACTGCAGGAGCACGACCAGGTATGTTGTCACTGCTGCAAACATCTGCAATGTATAATCCCATGCAATTCTGAAAGCTCCACTCTCGTTGCAGGACAGATTCTGGGGTTCACGGCCGATTTTCACGCTCGTCATAACCCTCAACTGGAAGTTAGACTTTCGGTTCCAAAGCTTCACGTCTCGACTCCACGTAAGTCATGATGCATATTTTATACGACCAGAAAAAAATTTTCTCGCTAAATCACATCGATACATCAGCATTCTTGACCCTCGAAGAACGATAAAAACAGAGGCATGACCATTCAGGGATTTATTTCCCTGTTTCCTCGTGTCATTCAATTTTCTTTAATGGCAGAGGTCATCCACGCTGTTATCGTGGGATCTCGTCATAACAAAGCATAGATTAAATCAACCGATTAGGAAGCTAAAAGCAGGAAAAGAAAGACGACAGGTCCAAAATAAGATTCAAGCTCGTGTCGAGAAGAAACTCGGTCAGAGAGTAGCGGTACCCTCGAGAGAGTAATCAACCAGATGGCATTTTGCAAGTGCCCAGAGGAGGATTTTAACAAGTGCCAATCGATCTTTAAAGATGATGAAGATTAAGAAGAGATGGCATCCCGAAAT